AAGAACCAAATAAACTAAGCAACAACAATTATTATAAGACCAACTAATTGGAAGACGAAATGTAGTAGTAGAATATAGCAGAACCAATAAAATGACATCATTATGGCAAAATTAACAACACGAAACTTTTAAAGGAGGAAAAATCGATAAAATTTATTAATTTAGTATTAAATTTTTGAAAAACTATTAGTTATTGATTATAAAATTCGAATATGTTTATTTATATGGCTTTCTTATTCATCGTTCCTTTTCATGTGGTCAATAAATATAGCAATCATGATGAAAATGTTGACGAAACTAGCACGAAACTGTTGAGAAGAGAACAATGAACTAAACATAAGAAAAAGAGATAAAAAAGAAAATACTAGAAAAAAAAATAGGGTAAAACTAGGAACCTGGAATGTTTAAACATTATTAACACCATGGAAAATAGAAGAGGTAGCAAGAGCAATGCAAAGATGCAAAATCGACATACTAGCACTAAAAGAAGTAAGGAAGAAGGAAATATTAAAAAGAAAAATTACACAATATACTACTTCAGATTAAAAAAAAAGAAAATGGTACAGTATTTATGGTTAACAATAAGATAAGGACAAAGTTATCGAATTCAAAGCTATAAATGGACGAACGTCATATAAAATATAAAAAACAAGCCAATATGACAATCATAACCATATATACGCCCACATAAAATACACTAGAAGATGATAAAATTAAATTATATGATCAACTGGATTAATTATATGAAAGATTTCCCAAAAATAACATAGTACTAATGGTTGTACTATTACTATGATGTAGAAGCAGGTAAACAAAACCAAAATAAGGAAGTAGCAGGGAAAGAAACTATTCATAATGAGACTAACGACAAGGGAAGAAAATTATTCCACCTAGCAGCAATAAGGAACAGTTACATTATAAGCACATACTTCATGCACAAAAGAGAACATAAAGTAACATGGCTGATCCTTTTTTGCATTGGGGGAAGAGAATCCATCGGAAAGTAGCTAGATGGAAGGTACAGTCTCGAAGCTATTAGATTTTTAAAAAAGGTCAGGCTAGAGAATGTTATCTAGGATTATAGGACCACAATAGATCTGAGAAGGTCGTAGTGGAAAAGACTAAAAGGCTACCTCCCTAAATCTATCTATCTAACATGGCTGATACCTTGAACAACAGGTGGCAATCAGATATATTACATGCTAATATCCAAAAAATGGAAAACAATAATGCACGACCTCAGATCTTTTAGAGGAACAAACGCGAGCATAGACTATTTCCTAGTAATAGAAGTAATACAATGAAATTAACTAAAACAGCGAGAACAAGACAAAACAAAAGAAGATGGAATCTGGACAAGTTAGGATTACAGGAACTAAGAGAACAATATGAGACAACCTCAAAGGAAAATCTAGCTGAAGCAAATAACACGATGATAGGAAAAATATAAAAGAATCCATCTTAAATTCAGCTGAAGAGGTGTTAGGACAGAGGGAAATAAAACGAAGGAAATAATGGTTCGATACAGAATGCGATATCATAATCAAACAAAAAAAAACAAGCAAGAAATAAATGAATATCAACTAAAGAAGCACATTATGAATACAAATTAAAAAAGAAAGTAGCAGACTCATGTTAAAAAAACAAAAACTGTGGATGGAAGAATTACTAGAGGACCTATAAGATAATAGTAATGGTAGCACTAAACTATTTGGATATCTAAAAGCCCAACAAAGAAAATGCAGACCAGTGGTTAAAATTGACAATAGATCATGGGTAATGCACCTCACAGAACTGTATAAATGCAGATGAAATTCTCAATGAGCTCATTAAAAAGGGAGGGTAAACATTACTAAAAAGCATCTACAACCTAATAGTTAAAATATAGTGAGCAAAACAAATACCCAAAAATTGGAAAGAAGGCAGAATTATACCAATGTTTAAAAAAAGGAGAAGTAACAAACTGTAACAAGTATAGAGGAATACCTCTACTAAGTACAACATACAAAATTCTAACAGCCCGCATCAGATAAAACTCACTCAATTCAGAAAAAAAAAAGATTGGGGACTACCAACAAGCATTCAGTGAAGGCAGATCCAGTACAGATGCAACCCACATAATTACACAGATAATCGAGAAATGCCACGAATACAACATAGAACTCCGCACCCTCTTCTTAGACTTCAGATACAAAGAAGTTATTTAATGAAATAAAAAATAAAGTCAGATCAACAACAATGACTAGTATAAATCTCGAGCTAAAATAACAATAGAAAAAGGTAGCACAAACTCAATTGCAATAGAAACAGAAGTGCGACAAGACGATTCTCTGTCAACCACACTATTCAACATAGCAGTAGAAGGAACAGTCAAGACCAGCGGAATTAAAGGAACTACAGCCCACTCCTCAAGGTAGCATATGCAGATGATATAGTTCTTATGGGAAAAAAACAGAGAAAGATTAAAAAAGCAGTAACAATCCTGGCAAGTGAAGCACGGAAAAGAGGTCTAGAAATTAAGGAAGAAATTAAATATCAAGATAGAAAAGTACAGTTTTGAAAAAGTTCAACAATTTAAATATTTGGGAGTAGTTGTGAATGGCAAAAATAAGAAACGTAAAGAAGTTACGGAACGAATAATAGCAGGCAACAACAAATACTGGAGATATCATAGGCTAACAAAGGACAAGAACTTATCCACAAATCCACAAATATCCACAAATGTGCCTCACAGATAAAGATAAAGAAAAATTAAGAATATTCGGAAGGAAAATCCTCAGAAGAGTTAGAAGAAGAATTATGGGCCCGATAAGAATTAAAAATGGAGAAATGAGAAAAAGAATGAACCATGAACTAGAAGACGTAATGAAGGGGAAGATATAGTTAGCTTTATTAAAGCCCAAAGACTAAGATGGCAGGAACACATAGAGAGAAGAAAAAACGACCTACTGATTAAGAATGTTACCAGATAGAAGCCAGAAACTGAAAGATCAAGGAGAAGACCCAGAGAGAGATGGGAGAATCAGGTTATGAGAGACAGTAATACTCGTCAAGTCCACTAATATTTCATAATAATTTAATTATTAAAACAAATTATAAGAAAAAAATGGAAAACAAGGAAATACCCCTATTATGTCATACAGATTACGCAGATTTGATAACGGGGAATGAAGATGATCTACAAATACTGTTACTTCAGCTTAATAATTTATGTTAACCCATTAATGCATTAGTTAAGAAAATTAAATCAAACTTCAGAATGAAACAAAGAGAGCTCGTTTTTAACAGCAATGTGTAAGCCTTACATTGTTTTCTTTGTAACTGTCTTTTTTTACGTATATCATGCGCTGGGCAATGAAGGAATATTTCAAACCACGTTTTTTAAAGTTTTTACGTGTGATATTCAACGAAACATTGATTAGTATATCTGGAGCTGTCAGCAGGGCCTCTACAATGCGCCGGTAAAATTCTAATAAACATTTAATGTTACGGTAAAGAACTCTTCTTCTTCTTCTTAGAGTGCCGTCTCCCTTCGGAGGTTGGCAATCATAATGGCTATTTCTATTTTAGAACTTGCTGCTCTAAACTAATCAATCGATCTGCATTGATACCAATCACGTAGATTCTTTAACTGTGAGTTCTGCCTTTGGCCAACAGATCTTCTTCCTTGAATCTTTCCCTGTATTATGAGTCTCAAAATTTCATATTTTGGTCCCCTCATCACGTGGCCTAGGTATTCCAGTTTTCTGGTTTGTATAGTAGTGATTAGTTCTGTTTCTTTACCAACCCTCTCCAGTACTTCTTTATTTGTAATTCTATGAGTAAGGTAAAGAAGTCACATGTTGACTATTCCTCATTCAAGCAAAATTTGAATATCGTTCAATACCATTTTTTAGATCGAATTAGAATACTATAATTTTTCTATCTTTTCTGGACCATCTGTTAAAGCTTCCTATAATAAATATTTCTGAAATTAAAAAATTAGTTGCCATAGTAACTTCATTATTATCATTCCAGGGAACAAGAGTGAACTTATGTTTTTCGTTATGTAGAGCGTGGGAAGTTCCACGAATTTCTTTTTTAATTTCTTTGAGTGGGGCTCTTTCAATCCTGGCCATTTGAATCTAATTGTGATGATACAGTGTATCTTTTGATCCATCAACCTTGTCAGTAAAGGTAAGGATGTAAAAAAATGTCAATTTAGATAACAGATTCTTGTGGTAAAGAGCCTATACACAGCTTTTCTATCACGGAATTTTCTAACGAGTTACCCTGTAATTTATCTCCACTTCCAGTATAGGGATGAAATTTTGCAAGGTAAGCTTTACTGGTCACAATTCACCAACATTGATAACCGTAATGGATAAGGACCAATTAGGGATTGAACTTTGAATGCTTTATTCCACGTAGGTATTATTGTTAAAATGTAAAAATCTATGAATCTATTCAAATCTGTTTCGACGCATAGTACCTATTACTAACTAAACGCGAGTGAGATTCCCCTCGACATTCCCAATATTCTTCTAGAAGGCAATGGGTGGTATCCAGAGAGAATAAGATGTCAAAGTATTTATATAAATCATAATATTTCATAAAGTGAAAGAGCAGGATTTTTGTGAATCGTACTTTACCGTTTCTTTACAAAGATAATTCATGAATTGTTCATCAAAAAAATGTTAAACACATCGATTGGCTTCAAATTTTATTTTTTTTTCCATTCATTTAGTACCTATATAGAGTTCCGTATTGTTTTTTGAAAATGTCCTTAATGGCTGCTTTTCCAGTTTTTTCCTCACCTACGATCGATTGTTTTCATAGATTTTTTTCTGTTTTGAAAATATTGTGAAATTTCTGCAACCTTTTTTTTTCTTTGTCACTTAATTCGTGAGTTTCAGTCAAGAGTTTTATTTGACAGTACCTACGGTTTTCTCAATTGCTGTATTTTTTCGAGAAACAGCTGTAATATCCACGCTTTGAGACTGTGTACCTCGGTCAATACTTTAAAAAGTGTAATTGAATCGGTCTTCCTCATCACTTTCAGCATCATCTCTGTCGAAATCATTTCCGTCGTCGTGCAACAAAGTATCGTCATCTTTTAAAGTCTCATATATTTTTAACAATTCTTCTACATCTTTGGGATTGTTAGGATCATACTTTTTCTTACATCGAAATACTGTTGATTAGTTACCACGAGTGCCCCGCGTTTTATATAAGCAAGAATCAAAGATCTTTAAAATATTCACCTGAATAAATTTCAACGATATTTGTATCACTATTTAATATTTACAAGCCTTGCTACTTGAACCATACAAAAGTTTTCTCAAAATAAGTCGATAGATTCCTATAAACTCTCTTAACGTGAAACCGGTGCATTATAAAATAGTCTACGAAAGCTTAGCATAAAACTAATCACGCTTTACTGCCAAACGGTTTCTTCTTCTTCTTCTTCAAGTACCTTGTCCATTGCGAACGTTGGCTATTAACATGGCAATTTTGATCTTGTTTGCGGCGCTTCTGAATAGTTCGACCGATGTGAGCCCGAACCACTTCCGCAGATTTTGGAGCCACGAGTGTCTTCTCCTGCCTGGCCCTCACTTACTGTCTATTTTTCGCTGGACAATCAATTGTAGCAGACGGTACTTATCGTGTCTCAATATGTTGCCTAGATATTCACGCTTTCTTTGTTTAATTGTATTCACGATCTCTTTCTCCTTTCCGATTCTTTGGAGTACCTCTATGTTGGTGACATGTTCGGTCCAGGATATACGAAGAATGCGTCGGTACACCTACATTTCGAATGCTTCTAGTTTCCTCGTTAGCGTCTCCGTCAGCGTCCAGGCCTCCACGCCATACAGCAAGATCGGAAAAATGTAGCATTTAACTAGACGTAGTTTTAGGGAAGAGACAAATCCTTGCTTATGAGGAGCTTTTTCATATCGCTTAATGCTGCTCTAGCTCGTTCTATTCTCGCCTTAATTTCTATGGTCTGTTCCCATTTTGCATTTACGTTGGTGCCAAGGTACACATAAGATTCTACATGATCAATTAGTATGTTCCTTATCCGTAATTGTCGAGCAGGTTGTTGCTTTTTGCTTATCAGCATCCACTTTGTCTTCTTGAAGTTGAAGCTCAGGTCGTATTCCTCACTAACTGAATAAAGTCTTTCCATTACTTGTTGTAATCCGTCTATGGTACTGGCGTGTCGTCGGCATATCTTATATTGTTCGTTAACTCGCCGTTTATTTTTATGCCCTCATTTGTATTTTCCATACATTTGTTAAATATTTCCTCGGAATACATATTGAATAGGAGTGGTGATAATATACACCCCTGACGGACACCTCTTTTGATCTGCTCGCTTTCAGTGAGTTCGTTGCCAATTTTTGCTCTTGCTGTTTGACCCCAGTATAGGTTTGCCACAATTCGAATGTCCTTGTCGTCAATACCTGTCTTTCGCAGAATACCTATCAATTGTTCATGATTGTCTCTACAACCGGTGTATAAGCACCTGGAGAGCGAAAATTGCTTCTCTAGTTCCAAGTGCTTTCCGAAAACCAAACTGCGATCTATCAATATTTGACTCACATTTATCATATATTCTTCTATGAATGGTCTTAGTGAATGCTTTAGTGACATGATTGATCAATCTTATAAGCGGTAGTCATCACAAATCTGGGCATTTGGTTTCTTCGGGATTGTAATAAATGTTGACTGCAGCTAGTTCTCCGGGATTTTACCGCTATTATATATATTGTTAATAAGTACAACTAGATCATCAAGGAACTGTTTGTCTGATTTACATAGGATCTTTAATATTTCGCAGGGTACATTGTCCGGACCTGCTGACTTATTGTTTTGTAGTGCTGCAATGGCATCGGCCAAACGGTTATAAGTTTCTAATGTTATGAAACAGTTACCTTCTAACATTTACCCTGTAACCTATATTAAAACACCAACTAATGTATACTTTTTTTGACAAGTATATGGCGACATATGTAGCAGTGTCTCGCGTATTACGTAAAATACCGTGAGCGTTAATGGGTTAAGGAATTGAACGTGAAAATATCGCTACAATAAGTTTAGATGTCTAGATAGTATCAAAAGACCGAATACGGTAATTCAAAATTAAATGAAATTCAACTACCTTGGAATTTATTCCTCTTAAGTACTCACAATCCTAGACAAAACTACAATTGTAACGAAGATCCACAAATATATTGGAAAGTAACAAATAATGTTAAATATACAGGAAGTGTAAAAGATCTTTACCATCGGATTTGGTTTGGAACGAACCTACTCCGACCGAAACCAAGCACTTCCTCTATGCTGACGATCTTGCAATATGTGCTCAAGGAAATAGTTTTGAAGAAGTGGAGGAGAAACTCGAAACTCCCTAAAACAATGACAGCGTACTACCTGCAGAATTCTCTGAGACCCAATCCCTCTAAAACCCAAGTCTGCGCTTTCCACCTTCACACAAAGGAAGCCAAGCGAAAACTCCAAATTGTGTGGAATGGTAATACATTAGAACACACAAACCAACCTATATATCTTGGAGTAACTCTGGACTGGTCCCTCACTTATAGACAACATTGCATAAAAACAAGAGGGAAAGTAACAACTAGGAACAGCATACTCAGAAAGCTAACGGGAAGTAAATGGGGCGCACGTCCTGGCGTTTTAAGAACAACGGCACAGGCACTGTGTTTCTCAACTGCTGAATATGCATGCCCTGTTTGGAGTAGATCTGCCCACACCAAACAAGTTGATACTGCGCTAAATGAGACATCCAGGATAGTAACGGGATGCATGAAACCAACGCCACTTTCAAATCTATATAGAGCAGCGGGTTTTGCAGAACCCTCAACACGCAGAGGCGCTGCAGAACACATAGAGAAAATTAAACAGATCGCGGACGATCGGCATGCCCTATACAAAGCTCGAACACCACGAAAGAGACTAAAATCTAGGAAAAGCTTCATTGGAACAGTGAAGGATGAACCGCCTGAGTATTTTCCACTTCCCCAGGTTCAATGGACCGGCCAGACCCTAGATTTTAAAACGTGGAAAACCTTGAATAGGATAAGAACGGGGGTTGCTACAGTAAAATCAAACATGGCAAAAGGGGGAAAAATAAACCAAGATGATGTGAACTGTGACTGTGGAGAAACACAGAATATGGAACATCTTCTTACATGCAGAAACTGTCCTCATCGATGTACCCTTGAAGATTTGTGGCTCGCCAACAAAGATGGAACCGACGTAGCCCGATACTGGGCCGAAATTTTATGAATGACATGTCCGGACATGATAAAGTAAAGTAAAGTAAGTGTAAAAAATATAAAACAAAAAGACTAAACAACAGAAAGAAGAAAAAATATTTAAAGATATTATAAAGTAAGAGATATCCTTACTGAAAATCATACCAAATGTTTCTCAGTTTGTTTTCTACATACATTTTCCCCCTTTATATTTACCATTTTTGTTATATTATTAATATATCTTATTTGTTTACTGAAATCTATTGATTGCATAGCTTGATGTGATTTTTTTCCTAATTATGTTGTCGTCAATTTTTACTACCTTCTCAATATCATTTTGAGTTAAAATAATTTTTTTTATAAGGAAATTTCACAAAACTAGTTCGTATTACAAGATACCTGAATCAGTGCATCGCGATCTGTCGAGTTGTGCTATTGGTCTCCCATATCTCTAACTATACAACATATACAAGTTCATTAGTAATAAGATAAAACGGTACTCAGTAACATAAATACATGTATTTCAATGTATTGATAAATACTCGAAAAATTTGATCACTTGTTCTATTGACCACTGCATAATAATTAGAATTAATTTTTTCTAAATTGCATGCAACACAAAATTAATATTCTGGCAAATTTAGGGTGTGTTTGAATCAGCACTTAATTTTTTTAATATTCTACTTAAGGCACAACTCAAGATGAATATGTACTGAGTACAGAAATTGTGTTCAACAATTTTTTTTCTCGGGTTCAATCATAACATACAAGAGAAGTTAAAAGATTCTAGATATTTTTATGTAATATTCATAGATGAAACCAAACACATTTTTATTACTGTACAATTTTGTAAAATTTTACGCTTTTGAAAGAAGAAAGGTTTTAAGATTTGTTATGTACTATATTTTTGTTACCACTTGACGGGGCATTCTGCAGCCGCAAATCTTTCCAAAGCATAGATCTAGTAGATTTTACTGTCACCAGAACATAACTTCATGCAGAAAAAACGAAATAGTAAGACCATTATGATCAATGTCTGTGGTGGCTAAGGTGGTTTCCCATTTTAGATTTCGCAAACATTACCCTTCATTTTCGAGATCAAACTAGATATCATTAGTATATATATATATATATATATATATATATATATATATATATATATATATATATAGAAAAGCTATTAAATCAGATAACTAAGATTCCAAGTTCTTTTGAGCCCTATGTTGCTTTTACTATTAAATAAACTTTCACCCTTACCTCTTGACGCACCCGATGAACATACAAGAAATGACAATTGTGATGAAGGTCCTATTGTAGCGGCATTGATGACTTAAAACTTGACAATGAGACATGCTGGCTCAATTTTTGTCTGAAGAGACCCCAAAAAAAATCCAGGGTGTACTTTCTTGACTCTAAAACAAAACTGATACCACTAGATATATTTCAGCAGACTGGACTGGAAACCGTAACTAATAAAACTTCAGTATGGTAAAAAAAAATGGTAGATCAGGACAAAAACAAATGGGTAATAAACTCATTTGAGTTATAGATTACCTGGTCTGGATGGGATTTATCCAATACTTTTATGAAAGGGTAGATACTACAGGCTAATTTAAGACTGGAGTATATACCAAAAACATGGAAGCTCATGAGTGTAGCTTTTATACCCAAACCTGATAAAACAGCGCATGAAAAGTCCCTGAGACCAATAAGTCTGATGGTATTTGTACTGAAGTATCTAGAAAAATTGCGCAATAGTCACATTAGCGATGATATATTGATTAAAAGTCCGATACATCAGGCATGTAGAGTAGGATTTTCTATGGAAAATTCACTGCACCACCTCGTACAGATAACAAACTAAGTTCTGGAAAAGCAAGAAGTGGTACTTTTCTGCATTTCTTGAAATAGAACGAATTTTTGCCCACGGCAAATTTAATGGCACATTCAGAGATAGGCTCTGCCTGTAGTTACAGATTTTAAATGTATCCAACATAATGGAGGAGAAATTTAAAGGGATTTAGTCCTCTAAGCCTGAATGGTAAAGTAAAGTACCTTAGGGTAATATTAGACTCCAGGTTTACTTAAAATCAGTAGATAAAACTAATAACCAAGAGAGCAATGATTGCGATAATGGTAGCCAGGCGCAGTCATGGAAAAATATGGGTTTTAAAACCAAACACGTTATATTGGATTTATAACATGGTGGCAAAATCAATCATTACATATGCATCAGTGGTATGGTGGCCAAAGAGGCAGAAAAAAGTACCATCTTTAAACTAAGAAAAGTGCAGATACTTATTTGCCTCAAATTAGCTTTGAGGGCTCTGAGGAGCACACCAACAGTAGCTGTAGAGACCCTATTGGACCTCCTAATGTTGGACATCGTTAGAAAGGGAAGGCTAAAATGGAATATTATAGACTGTAAAAATACCTAATTAACGTTAAGGTTAGATCAGGACATATCAGGGATACCGAATGGATGATGACTTCTGACCAAATACTACGCAGACGTAGGCCTAAAGTACCTTTCCAACTAGACATAAGCCCGTGAGAGGGATAAGGCATAGAAATATAATAGAAATATTCAGTAGTGGTGGAAATATAGATATTGTTATTCCACTAGGAGCAAATACCTAAGCAAATAATGCACATATTTAGCAACGAAAGAGCTAATGATCTTACCAGAAGATCAGCTAAAAATACTTCGGCCCAGAGCCGAAAGTAGAAGTGTTATAAAGCACCGTCCGCGATCGGAAAAAAAGCCTCGATCTGAAGACAACATAACTCTAACTGCAAAAGTAAACTCGGTCAATCACATGGCAACATGTATATTGGACGGATATGTGCCATAACAGAAATATTGTTCATGTGCCAGTCAAGGGATACTTTCATATAATGAGACTATTTCGTGAAGACTTAAGCTGTAGACTCTGTAGACGAGAAGCTGAGCCAGTCAACCATATCTTGCATGAAAGCGAGTCATTAGACCTCAGTCGGCAAACACTTTTGGAAATTATTAAGTGACTCAAAAACATGGTGCCCATTCACTAGACCTTTAAAACCTGCTGCAGGGTTACACAATTCTGGAATGGATATTATGAATGAATAAAATCTGTACAATGGCTACAGTACGCCCGGTGTTTAACAGACGGCTTCCGAAAAAAAAGCAAATCTGAAGAGGAAACACAACCCCAAAATCTCAAACACAATATCTCCTCACAGATACGTCACTGAATGAACACGAGTTTCTCATTATTTCACCTGCAAGCGGAGTCCGGTAATGGTAAATTGCGTTTGCTGTATTTATCTAATATTGCTTGTGAGTTGTACAAATAATTGCTGCCTCTGCATTTCTACGTTTTGACGTCATATCTATGTCGTTTTTCTGCTACCTATAAATTTCAACGAAGAGGCCTACATCAGATAATATTTTTTGATAAAGTGGGTTTTTCCTAATGTCTTTACCTTACAGTCAGTTGGATCAGCTGTGGAAGATACAGAGGCTGCTGATAGCTCTAAATCTATTGTCAAGTTGAATTGTTCATCACGATTCATTAACTCTTAAAGCCGTTAATATTTTCGTAGTTACTAGAAAATGTTAGTGTTTAAATTAGATCAGTTATATATTGTACAATTCCAATAAATTGTATTTTTGTAAAAGGTTTGTTTTTATTTCGAAGCTTCAAGGGACAATTTTCATAGCTCTTGTTCAAATATTAAATACTCCATTTTAACATGTGGATTCTCCCTTAAAACTTAGCAAGCGAAAGTATATTAAAACTTGTCAAGACATGATGTCTAGCGATCATCGTACTGTTTAGGAAAATTGATAGAAAGTGGAACTCAAATTTTCTTAAACATTACCTTCCTATATTTACATATAAGATACTTAAATAAAAAAGCGAGACTGGATCAGTTAAAGTTCAGAGGAAGGCGAAATGTGGGAAAAAACTTCCAGATATGAATTGTTTATTTTAAGAATGAGCAAACTGAGCCTCAGAGGGAAAAGTTATGGCCTTCAGTAAGGCATAAAAAAGACTGAAGTGAAAATTTACGATTCAAGAAAAGAAAATATGCTCATTGGACATAAGAACACTAGAATAATGTCTTGTTTTCAGAGGAGACATAATTTCTGGTGCAGATGTAATAATCAAAGTTTGTGCGGAGAGGTATGGACAAACAGTGTTCATCTCACTTCGAACAAACAGTGAAACGTACAGTCAAAAATATGTTTTGGGTATGTTTTTGATATCAGGTAACACAAAAACTTATTCCCACCAAAGGAATAATAAATAGTGAACAATAAATATTAAGAGATGATGGAAGCTTGTTAACTAGAGAACTGAAAAAAGTTAAGCAGTTCTTTTTCCAGACAGACAAACCAATCTTCCAGCAGAATTCAGCAAGGTACCTATAATGTTTCGAAAAAGTAATCAAATATTTCTAAGACAAAAGGCTACCCTTCTAGACTAACCTGTACACTCACAAACTCACTTGGTAAATAAAAATTAAGATTATTGAGGTTGTAATTCACCTGTGGTTTCGAGATAACACAATCAAGGAAAATTGCAAATAATTGGAATTGAACCTTTAACAAAAGCCAAAGAGAAGACATATCCATTATTGAATAATACTAAAATATTTTATAAGATTCGATAGATAGATAGATTCGATATCTGTATCTTGAATTAAATACAAAAACCAAGCTGTGTAAAATGCTTGATATTGCCAACGAACATGAAAGACCGTTAGTAAAATTCTCTGCTAAACAAGTTCATTAGAAAATACAAACAGACCTGAACCCGAAAAAGTCCTCTGGATATGACCCGATTACTGTTAACATATTTAAAGAACTTTCTAAAAAAGAAACACAGTACTTAACATAGATATTTAACGCCACTCAGAACTGGCTACCTCTATTATGGAAAATTGCACAAATGATCGTAATTCCTAAAACTGGCAAGCCTACGGAAGGCAGTACGTCTTATCTCTACTGCTAATGATGTCAATAATTATCTCAGAGCGCCAAATAAAACCCAATCGTCAGTTTTACTTCACACACCAGCATGTCACCACTAGGGATTGCAATCCAGCAGCATTTTGAGTCCAGCTGGATCCAGCAAAATGTAGAATAAAAATAAAAACACGATTTTAATGTTTTTTTGCTTTTTAATACAAACAAATAAAATAAAAACTCAAAATAAAAATTATCTTAGGTTTATATAATCAAATAAGGACGTATAATCAATCGCAATTCGCAATCAATCTTACCTCTCTTTAACTTAAAATGGCTAGAGCAAATGCCACAATTATCATGAGATTAAATAAAACTCGTACTCAGTAAGCCGTGGAAGTGAAATATAGGGCTTTGCTTGTGTCGGCTGAGTATTTTCACGAATGAAATTTTATCCAAATGAACTTATCTGTTGTAAGAGTAGTTCATTCGAAGCAAATTTTATTGATGGCAATTTTAAGCTGACACAAGTTAACTAATATGTTTTTCTTCCATGACTTACTGAGGACGAGTTTTTTTTGATATCATGATAAAAATCAGTTTGTATTCTAAATTTCTAAACAACAGAAACATGAATTATTTAGTTTTTTGGAAGTGAGACCTTAAAAAACATATTTTATCTATCGTCTTATCGCCTAACCTACTTCGCACAGATCTGCACATACAGCCGGTTGCGGAGAAAGCCCTTTTGGTCTCTACGCTGGTCGGTTTTAAGGTCATCAAATAGTCATAAACCATAGACAAATGATCGCCTTTTACTCCTTCGGTCTCATAAACGGTCATTTCCTTTTTCAAAATCTTTTCGTAATCTTTTTGAGAACCAGTTTTTTTTTGGTTATAAAAGTTTTCTCTCTCTCGTTTCAGTTCAATCTCAAGTTCTTGTTCTAAAGTAAAATTCACGGGCTTCGGATTAGTTGCCATATCTTCTACTTCCATTATGTCCTCTTGCACTGTTTCCACAATCACTTGTTTATTTATACGACTTAACAAATTTTTCATCTCTTGTCACATTGCATTCTTTTTCGGCATGGGAAATAACCAGGATTGTTTAGTCCTTCGTCATACTTTTTTGGATTTTGTAAGTACACTAATGTACCTGTAATTTCAGAGAGGCGCCGTTCAGCGATTCTGTTGCTAGTCCGATAGCTCGGCACTGAGGCTAGAGTCCTGGCTATTTCGTTTGTCTAAGACAAATTTCAAGGTTGTGTCGGCCGTTATCAAAGTGGACTCTCTTCTGCAAAGAGCTTCTACAGCCAGTTTCACCGGTTGAAGAGTGGCGATCAACTCATTGATTATTGACCACTCACCAGCAGAGAATTTTATCGCAGAATCAATGTCTATCAACGCTTTATCGATGCAAACTTTTAGGCTGTAGAAACGTTCCAGCATACTGAGCAAATTGTTCCACCTGGTGCGGCAGTCAAGAATCAAACTTAATTCTTGCCTTTCTCTTCCTTGACATATTTTTGCAAGAACATGTCGTCTTTGGTAGGTGATTTTTTGAACGTTTTAACAACTTTTCGTATTTTCATGAGTAGATCGCTGTAACAGGGAATCAATTCAACAAGACTCACCGATGTTGGTTCGATTGTTATTGCCAATCCTTCATTCATCTCTGTTTCCATATCTTCATTTTCGTCTTCATATTCATCAGCGTCATATATTGCTACTTGTTCTACTTCTCTTTGAGGTTTCTTTTTATACAGCACGTCTACTACAGCCAAATGAATTCCATGTGCATAGCACAGTTGTTGATAGCAAGGCATGCTGATAGCAAGGCATGTTGATAGCAATCAATAGTCTTCTTCGACTTTTTGCTCGGAACTACTTCCTGATTATCTTAATTTTTTGACGAGGTTGCTTTGGGGCATTGGAGCCGATATAATGGTGCTGGTGCTGAAACTTGAAGAAGAGACGTTGTGTATCTTTTTCAGATGTCCTTTTGAAGCCTGTTGTTGAGCGGTGGCTAATCAACAATTTTTTTGAGCATAAAGAGCATCTTGCACTTCACTCCTCATCCAGTTTTGTGCAAAAGTCCCACAATTTTTTTTATCATCTTTAAGAGACATTTTAATTAATATTGGAGTAACTGGAGCATCATTAAATCTAAAAAGAAAAAAAAAACGTCTGTGAAATAAGTTGTAGGTATAACTTGTCCAGATAAAGAAACAAACTGTAAATGTCAACGGCTATCTGAACGTGAGCGTGAATGAGAAAACAAGAACGTCTGATATATGTGTGAGCCTTAATGTGAGCGAAAAAAAATATACATTTTTGTTAATTTCACAGTAATTTTTCGCCAACAGCCTTTTTCTTACGGTGGATGATATGTAGTCTACTTCATCTGAAATCAAAAAATTAAAAATTTTCTTGTAAGTTTGTACCTCTGGCTAGTGAATAAACGAAGGAATTTTCATTAGGTCAAGTCGTTTTTGTTTTATACGAAAACAAAAATACTTTGAAAATGGTCAAATTTGAAAAAATGAGTAAAAATTGGGTCGAAAATGTGTTTAAACTTATGTAGAACCTTCAAATTTCGTTTTTTCTTAATTATTTCATATGTTCACTAGCCAGAGCTATAAACTACAAGACAATTTTTTGACTTTTTGATTTCAGATGAAATATCATGGCCACCGCAAGAAAGAAGGCTGTTGGCGAAAAATTGCTGTGAAATGGCAAAAATAAATATTTTTGTAAAAGATCGCACTCGCACTGTGATAAGATCGGTGTTGATAGTTAAGAAGGAATTGTTTACTATTGACTGGCAGTCATTATTCAATTAACTTACATAAATCATCAAGTGATGTTCTAATCATAAATTATGCTAAATTATTAGATATTTAGTCAAATTACTTACCATTCAGTTTCCAAACAACACACACGGCAGTACAGCAGATTGAGAGAGGCACTTATTAGGCGTGAAAACACTTTTACTGGCGAGAGCATAAAGTCAACTAAAAATTAGATAAATAGAAGAGGTCTAAAAGTCAGTGGGAGGCGTAGGTGGTGCAGTCGAGAAGAGAGGGCGACGCGATGTTGCAGTTCAATCGCACTTGTGGCACGTCCTACCTGCTAGCGCGATAGAATGGCAAGTTGCCAACTCACGGCTTTCAATAAAGAGGCTAATGAAGACATGAAGTAACTTATTTCAAATTTGACACGTTTGCGGATCCGCGCTGCTGGATCCAGCATATAAAACAAACGCTGGATCCATCTGGATTGCTGGATGCTGGATGCAGCAATTGCAATCCCTAGTCACCACAGAGCAAATTCACCGCGTCTGTATTTTATTAATGAAGCTCTAGAATATGGAGGGCAATTGCCAAGGTTAGCAACCTACCAATCCTAACTATAAATACTGCTTAAAGAAATAATGTACATCCTCGGAACCGTATTGACATAATGAAGTCGACTATGGTCAAGAATTAGAACATGGCACATCAGATCGCTCAACACAAGGTATGGTGAAGTCGACTATGGTAAGAATTAGAACACGCCACATCAGATCGCTCAACACAAGGGATCAATAAATAACATTTGCATTCTACAGGAAACAAAAAAAAAAAGGAAAAGAACAATTAAAATTAGGTGAATACATACTAATCCACAGTGAAGTAGCAAAAGAGAAACAGGACCAAAGAAGATTTAGTCTTACTAATTCACCAAAGATAGCAAAGTCACATTAAAGTGTGTCAATACGTATCAAAAAGGATTGTAACAGTAAAGATCAGAATGGAGAAGGAAGACCTGAACATCATCAGAGTATACGGCCCACAAAATAACAAACCTAAAACAAAAAGGGAAACGTCTGATGGCGAAATATAACAAGTAGTAGATCAAGTTAGGGGAAGATGATAATATTAGGGGATTTTAACTCTCGAATAGACAATCAGTAATACCCGGAATTAAGCAAAAACACAAGAAGAATGTTAAAAAACGAAAAGGAGACTTCTAAAAGAGCTGCCCGTCACATCCCTCTTTCTTTTTAAGTCTCTTGTTAAACTCAAAACTACTGTTGGTTGCCTAAGTTTAAAATTAAGTCCTTTTGATAATTCTCTATTGAAGATTTCAAATAGTACATAATTAAATGTTCCTTGTGGAGTTGGCAACCTAGCCACTTTTCTTTAAATTAAACTCCGTGAGTATAAATTTTTTACATTAAGAACCTTTTGTACACTAAGTTTATTCTTAAAGGTTATGTATTATTTTTTTTTATTTAAAAAAGACAAAGTCGTATCCACCCGAAAGTTATTAAACAACATACCTGTAAAATTTATAACAATATTAAGTTAAATTTGTGTACAATCAATCATTGTAACAATTAATAATTAAAATGTGTAAACAATTAAACATTTGTAACAATTACCTAATTAAATTTAAATTAATTTTAATTCAAATTTAAGTTAAATTTTGTGTAACATGTTTATACATTTTAAGTAACATAATAAATTGTCCAGAACAAAATTTTTATCTAGTAATACTTTTAGATTATTTGGAAAATTGTAAGAATGTCTTTGACTTACTTATTTAGGATATGTATATCAACAAGAGTCTCATCTCTAGTGTAAGGGAAATGTGAGTCGATAATCTTGACAAGCGTCTATTCATACCTTATTACAATTCGTCTTCGATGCTCGCGCATCCATGTAATGTCAAATATTTTTTACGTTATACCAGATTTGATTTGTTAATATTTTGAAATTACAGGCTATTTAATGATTTTATTCGTTTAAATCAGAGTCAGAACGATAATGATAGAAAATATGCGATTAAAAATATTGCCTAGATTTTACTAGAAAAGTTCAATTGCGATTTCCGCAAGTGGTGTGGTCCTTAGATTAGCCGTAGATTCTACATTTACGATTTAAGCCAAATTGCTTTAATAAAATGTTGATATTAAGAAAGATACAGAGTGTTAAAGTGAAAATTTAAAATTTTAATTTTCGCTATAACTTTCATGTTTGTAAACATTTATGTATCAAAATTTATAACTGGTTCCTATTGAATATCAGAAATTATAATTTGATGCATATTTTAATGTAGCTGATACAGAGCGCTACATATGCCACATATGTTGCATATATTTGCACTTAACTTTTTTGCTCTTTAAGTTACTGGTGTTTGTGATAAAAAATATTAAGGACACATTATTTTAACAAAAAAAATACTTGTTAATAACTTCAAAACTCAACAGTTTTCGAAATAATCGCATTTTACGCATCAACTACATAATTCAGATTTAACGCAATTACTTCAGGCAATGAAAGAAAATTAGACAAAAACTTCAATAATTCTGAATTTTGGTGTAAAATGCCTTTAATAAAGTTAATAGTTAACAAAATATTCAATAAAATAAATATATCAGAGGATAGTTATTAGTAGGATTTGACAAAATAACAGAATAGTTGGATTTTACATCAAATATTTTACGTTTTGTATAGTCATAATCAAAATATTTTAATTACAAACCAAATTAAGAAATAGTTAAACTAAATAACATTAAACTTTTTGTCGAAGTAAGTTCTTCATTTGTCAATACATTCCATAAAAGAACGTCTCAACTAAATTCTTAACTTTACTTTAACAATAAATTTGTATTTAAAATTAAACTTTAACAATAAATTTTAATTACAATAATTACAAAACACATAACCGAATTAAATCGTATATTAGAACCTTATCTAGGAATAAATCCTATGAATATGAACAACAAAATTGACAGGCATAACCTATTTTTACATTACATGGATGCGCGAGCATCAAAGACGAATTGTAACAAGGTATGAATAGACGCTTGTATAATCTTGCTGCTTTTGCGTGCAATGTGTAATAGAAGAATAAAAGTGTTAATGGTAATTATAGTGCATATCGAGGTAAGTGCATAACCTCGATAAATTTAGGAAGGCGAAGGAAATTTTATTTACTCTCAACACAAAAAACTAAAAACACAACCGCCCAGGTAATTAACGCAACGCTATAATCAGTTTTAAAAGCTAGAG